AGAGAGAGAGAGAGAGAGAGAGAGAGAGAGAGAGAGTGGGTGAGTGAGTGAGTGAGTGAGTGAGTGAGTGAGTGAGTGAGTGAGTGAGTGAGTTGTTGGGCATGGGATTAAGACGCTGCGCAGCAGCGGAGTGTTGGGCCAGGGTTGACAGCTTGAGAAGCTCAGCTTCCATATCATCGCGCAGAACTTCAACAAGCGGCAGCATGTACGGACAAGACATGATGACGTGTCTTGGCGTGCCAGTCAGCCTGCGACAGAGAGGACAGGTGCGGCAGGAGAGGCCAGTTAAGTGGGACCAGCGGTTTGCCAGATCTTGGAGATTAGAATCCGAGTGCAATCGCTCCGTCCAGCTCCCACCAATAGCACGCATGCAGCGATAGGCAAAGGCGGAAATGTCGACGACGTGCAAGTCCGTGGGCAGCAGCCATTGATGCCAGTTCGATGGGACACGAAAGCGGGTGAATATGCGAATGTCCAAACCGGGCTGGAAGACCCCTGACGTGTATGCCAGTTTGCCCTGAACAGCCGCATTTGCCACTTGGCTGTCGCTTCAGCCCGAAGGAGATTGCGGAGGAAGTCTCGGCAAGGAACAGAGACAGCCTTGCCAAGGTGGGAGAGCTGGAAGGCGGGGCCCCCAGAGGGCCACCACACATCAGATGGACAGGGGAGGTGGCATGCTGCGCTGCATTGCTCATCTTGACGCACGTTTCCCTGAACAATGAAAGGGTTGGGGAGAGGGACACCCTGTTGGTGGCTCTTGACGTCAACACCAACCAGACCATGTTCCGCGAAGGCAATGCGGCAAAGAGTGAGAGAGCGGCCGTGAGACTCCTGCTTGACGTTCCAAGCGCTGGGGTGAGAAATTTGGTGGGAACGCCAAGGCGGCACAGGCGACTGGTCGGACCAAGCCTGCTTTAGTGCCCGGATGACCGCGTGCACGCGGGAGATAAGGTGTTGACAGGGCCTGGCCAGCACTTGCTTGGAGGAGCCAGCAGCAGCTACATCGAGGAGGGGGAAGAGAGAGGAGCGATCAAGCGTTAACAGGTTCCAGTCACCAGGGCGGGACCAGCGGAGGCTAGTCAGCATTCCCATGAGCTCGGCCGCATGAATGCCCACCTTCTCCCAGCCATACCTTGAGGGTAAACGGGATGAAAGTTGTGGCCCGGCAGCGCCCGGGGAGAGGAAGTGATCGTGGCTGACAGTGAATGCCTGCGCCTGACACGCGAAGGTGCAACACGACTGGCCGCGGGCGCCGCCGTCCGCGAAGAGTGCGATAGACTCACCCGGCAAGATGTAATGCAATGAGTCTAAATGACGACTACGCGGGTCATTTGAGGGATCATCAGGGGTGTCCCAGGACTGCTCCATCCAATCTTCGGGGTAGTGCGCCATAGCCACATGAAAAATCCCGCACTCCACTTCCCAGTCACGATTGGACTGCGCTAAACTGGCCACCACAGCAGCTGCACAAGTTTCAGGAGAGACAGGGCAAGATCCAGGGAGGTTTCTCCAGTGGTCCAGGTGCCCCCAGGAAGGGGGGGGAATGCCACGCTCCTTCAAGGAACGGAGAATAGTCCGTACGGCGTTGGCGACCGGACCAACGCGGCAGAACTTGACCATAGAATCAAACTTGCGAGCATCGAAGGTGCCGATGAGGCCAGCTGGGGACAGACCTTGAGCTTGCACGATGTGGTCGAGGACGCGACTGACAGAGCGTTCTGTTGATGCGTTGATGAAAAGACCGTACCCCGCAAGGAGTCGCATGGCGCGGACTACCATAAACGAGCACTGTTCCGCATGGGCGGGTTCCATGAGCATGGCTTCTCGGAGGGAGTCACGTGCCAATTGTCCGGCCAGGCAAGGGCTGTTGAGGAGACGTAAAACTTCAGCTGAGACCGCACCCAAGAAAGTCTCAACAGCAGAGTGCAGCTGGAGCCCGCCCAGGCGGCGCGGGGCTAACAGGCCAACACGCTCTGCAGTGGAACGAACCCCGAGTGAGCGGAGGAGAAGGTGTTGCATGGCCGCATCATGCTTGTGAAGCTCCTGCGGTTCCAGCAGGCCCACAAGAGGGGCGTAGTTTAAGTAGCCAGCACCATAGAGCTGCGCACCCATAAGAAGTTCGTCCCAGCTGAGGCGCCTCCAAGTAAATTTTTGCAAGAGGCCCTGCAGGCGTTTAAGGGTGTCATCAGCAGCCAGAGAGTGGCGATCAAGGAGTGTCCCTCGCTTGCCCAGGAGGACCTCCTCCTCATCCGCCCGGGCGCGGGGGAGGCGGAAAGCCCGGGTACCTCCGGACCAAATATCATAGCCAGACACTGGCGCTGCGTCCGCAGTGAAGCCAGCGGCAGCACAATCGGGCGAAGCCGCAAAGGCATCCCAGTCACTGGCAAAGGCGTGGAACTTGTCCCAGGCAAACCCGATGCCCGTAAGGAGACTACCCATGGAGAGGTCACAGAGAAGCTGTGGGAGCTGGCACGCTCCCTGAGCGTAGTGTTCGGCATCGTCCACATAACCCGCAACTGATACTCTTGAGCTGGTTTGGACAGTTCGGGCGAAGAGACAGCGCCCTGGGGAACTCCTCGTTTGCAGTGCACAGGTGGGGAGGGTCCCCATTTGGTGTCCACAACGATAGTCAGACCTTGGAAGGCGGCTTGATAGAACTGCCGAACTTCGGGGGGAACCCCGCGTGCTTGTTGCACGGCATCAACCAAGGGCAGGTTGATCGCGTTGAAGAATTTCTCGAAATCGGCGGGGACCCGTGCAAGCGGTAGGCCATGATGCAGAGCATCTTCGGTTACCATCACGTCAAGATACAGCACATCTGCCGCCGCCGATTGGCCCGGCTCATAGGCACGATTAGTGGCACTGTAGACAGCGCCTGCCGGCAGGGCTGCTCTGGCGGACAACAGCCTGTGGGTAACAGGGCCCTCAATAGCTTTGTAGGATTCTTCCAACATAGTAAGGGGGCGCCAGCCACCTTTGGGTTTGGGCAAGTTGACCTGAACAGCCTGAAGCAACGACGGAGCAATGCAGGCATGTTGGCGCTGAATGTCCAGCATGAGCCAAAACAGCTCTTGTACCCAGGACGGGAAGAAAAGCAGGAAGCAGAGCTTCCAACCAGAGGGGCCTGGTCGTGAGGCTGACATCTTGGAAATCCATTTGGAGCGCTCCGAGGCAGACAGGGGACGGAGAAGGGAGGGAGCATTATGTGCATCGGAACTGCTAGGACCAAGCAAGAGGCACCTGTGCCATCTTCCAGGAAGCAGGCTCAGCCACTGGTCTACTGTCCACTCATGTGGAGATTGACCGTCGACATGCACAAGGAAGTGTGGGGCCCCAACACGGTCCTAAATTGTGCGCAAGCCAAATCCCACCTACCTTTCGGAGGAGCCACCGCCCTGCTTTCAGTTCCAGCGACCCGAGTTGCTGAACCTCTGTGCTGCGGAAAGAGTGAAGCTGGTAGGGGCCCGGGCTGAGTAGAGCAGAGAGTTCCGCTTCGTGCCCCGACAAGGTAGTGTTGGGGCTGCCTCACCTGAGTCCGTCTGCATCTTGCCAGACTTGCACTAACGGATGTGCCCAGGGAGGGTTGGGCTGAGCGAACAGCGGCTGCCACTCGTGAGCGGCTGCACGCCGCATCTCCTCAGGGGTGCGTGGACGACGAGTCCCGGTGTCCGTGCGAAAGACACGCGGAGTGTATGTCTGAGATGGCCGTTGTGGACCGCGCAAGCATGCAGCCCAGGTCTTGAGAGAGCGGCTGCGTAGCAGTGTCACCCGTCGCTCATGACCTGCACGCGCGGCATGAACAACGGTTTTGGCACGCAGCCGCTCCGCCTCCGCCAGCCAAGTGTTTACCGTTTCCAAGCGCGCTTGCCGGGACATGTGAGCATCCGGCCACTGCAAGCTTATGGGTACCGTGCTGTCCGATGCGGGTGTGAAGTCAACAGGTAAGAGTCGAATTTCGTCCCTATGTTGAGAGATGCCGATGGCTTCAAGCCACTCTGCAGGGCGCGCATGGAAGCTATCCCAGTCGAGCAGCGGTCGTGCTTCAATGACCCTGCACGTCCGCATGAGAAAGTGCATGCCTTGCTTCCATTTGGCAGAGGCTTGAAGGAGTGACGAGTGCTGACCGCTGTCATCATCAGGCGTGTCTAGGAGTGCCTGACGAAGAGTACGCAGGAGAGAAATGCAATCGTCCCATGCACTTTGGGCCCTACCGCGTTTGCGGCAGAAAAGAGGTTGTTGGGAGGCGGGCAACGCGCTCATTAGAATATGCATAATGTTGTCATGCAGCTGGGAAACAAGTCTACGTGCGGATACACGGGGGGGAAAGGCAGAGCAATTAGGCATAAGCATGCCCAGCTCCGCCAGAGGTGGGGGGCAGGAACGTAGTGCACCATCCACTGCAAGTAAGGCCAGGTGCAAATGTTCCAGCTCCATTTCATTCCATTCCCATGACGGTTCCG